TATATCAACAAAATTTAAAAAAAAAACAATAAAATCAATTGGGATTTAGCCATATGGCGACTTCAAAAATTAATTGAAAAGCAACAATTAATATTAATAAAAGCAAGTAGTAACCTTATGTGTGATTATTTTGTTTCACATAAAAGAAGAAAGAGAAATAATTTATATAGATGAAACTGGAATTAGTAAAGATATTATTAGTTCAAAAATGTGGTGTTTAAAAAATACTGTATTGATAGAGCAATTATAAAGAAAAAGATAAATAAAATAGGTGCAATGAGTAGAGATTCTTTTAGTGATTAAATGTTTAAGGTGTAATGCTAATGAAGATTTAATTAAAATCTTTCTTATATGAATAATCCAAATTTGTAATATGAAATACGGTTTTATAAATTATTTCATAGTTTTTGACAATTCATATGTGCACAAAGAATCTAATCTAAAAAAAAGATGTTTTTGGATATGTGAATCAATTATATTTACATTCCTATTCACCATAAAACATGTATGGAGAGAATTCAAATATAGTTATCAAAACAAGATTGCAGAAACAGTATGAAATTAAATTAGGATATTCATACTAGTTTTTCTAAATTAACTAAAAAATTAATCCATAACTATTAAATGTCAAAAACTATGTAATTATGATAATTTCTAAATATCGACTTGTAAGACAATTAAAAATCATAATAGTGCAGGCTTCAAAAACCATTTTATAATTTCCTTCATAAAACTATTTAAAAAATTGGTTTCTTGTAAATGAAATTGTAAAATTAATTTTTGTTGATAATTTTTATCAAGATTTATTTAATTAATCAATATATTTTGTCAGTAGAATCATTGTTCTCTTTATTAATGAATGTCCAGGTTTATAAATTGAGAATTTAAGGAAGTATTTATTGCTACTTAATTTTTCATTTTCTTTATGATATAATATTAGTTATGTAGGTTTGTCCATATCCTAAAGCTACGAAAAATTTAATAGATTTATGACGAATGTATAATTTTACAAAATATGAATTTTAATTTCAAATTAAATAAGCATTATTAATCAAATTACTTTATTTTATATATTGCCATTTTTTTTTTTCAAACCAATAAATAAATATTCAAATGAATTTTTTTATTTTATCATAAATTTTTGATGATATGTAAGTTGGGTGTATGTAAAATCGCGTTAATTAACTATATTTCTTTATAGACTCTTTTATCATTAAACTTGAAAACACTTTTTATTAAAGATGAGCATTACGTTGGTTTCGGACTAAAATTTTAAATTAGGTTTATAAAAAATACTGATAAATTGCATTACCAATTAATTATTATTCAAAATAAGAAGCACCATTTTATTATTTAAAAAATTTAAAGTTATTTGAATATGAGGGAAATAATCTCATTACATATTGGATAAGGAGGTGTTTAATTAGGGAATTCTTGTTGGGAATTGCTTTGTTTAGAATAAGGGATTTAATCTAATGGATTAATTAAAAAAGAAATAAAAAATTAAGAGGAATATGGTGAAGTTTTTAAATTCTTCACAGAAAATAAAGAAGGAAACTATTCTCCTAGATCTTTATTTATAGACTCAGAATCAAAAGCAGTATAAAAAGTGAAATATGGAGCAAATAGGGAATTATTTAGACCAAATTAATTTATATATGGTAAAGAAGATGCTTCAAATAATTTTGCTAGGGGACATTATTAAATTGGAAAAGAATACATAGATATAAGCTTAGATAGATTAAGAAAATTAGTTGAAGATTGTTCATGTCAATAAGGAATAGTTTTATTTAATTCAGTAGGTGGAGGTACAGGTTCAGGTTTAGGCGCCTTATTATTAGAAAGATTGTCAGATGATTATTCAAAGTAAATTAAAATGGGAATCAATATTTACCCATCTCCTTTAAATGGAACTGCTGTAGTTGAACCTTATAATGTAATTTTGGCAACTTAATATTTATAAGAGTTGGCAGATTTTTGCATTCTTTTAGATAATCAAGCCATTTATGAAATTTGTAATAAGATTCTTGATATTGAATGTCCTAGTCATACCAATTTAAATACACTTACAGCATAAGTTTACTCTTCTTTAACTGCTGCTTTAAGATTTAATGGATCTCTATTTTCAGATATTACAGAATTTTAAACTAACCTAATTCTACATCCTCTTCTTCATTTTATGTTATGTTCTTACTCACCTATTTTATCAAATTGGAAAACTTGTTTTTAATAACCAAAAACTAATGATATTTCAATTTAAGTATTTGAACCATAAAGTATGATGGTTAAATGTAATACTTTATAGGGAAAATTTATGGCTTGTTCAATATTATATAGAGGGGATGTCATTCCAAGGGATGTTCATTCATCAATTACCGATTTAAAAGGCAAATCAACAATTTAATTTGTTGATTGGTGCCCAATTAATTTTAAAGTAGGTATTACTTACAAAGATCATTGCATAATTCAAGATGGAGAAATAGCAAAAGTTGTCCGATCAGCCTGTATGATTTCCAATACAACAGCTATTTATGATATTTTCCCAAAATTCGCCAATAGTTTTGATTAAATGTTTGCTAAAAGGGCTTTTGTTCATTGGTATTGAAGCTTAATATTTCTCAATTTTAAAAAGGAATTATAATTTTAAACTTGAATATCGATGATCATAATTGTAAGTAATTAACTATGATAAAAGATAAATTAAAAATTATATATTAGCAATTTAGTTTTAGGAGAACATTAACCTTTTTCTCTTAAAATTTTGATGTTGATAAATTTATTTATTCACAGAAAATTATTTTTATTGATTAGCTACACTCAGAATGTAAGTTAATTTTTTTGAGATGAGAAAGCATAGGTAGCACAATAACCCAAAAAAAGAATTTTTTACTTGACTAATCAATACATTAACGAAGGGATGGAGGAAGTCTAATTTAGTGAAGCCAGAGAAGAATTAGCAATTCTCGAAAAAGATTATGAAGAAGTTAACTTGTCAGTAATCGATGAAGAAATAGAAAAACCGCTAGAATGAAGTAAAATATTAAGGATAATGATATTATAAATTACACAATTATATAGTTTATGTTATTTGAATAGATTTCATTTAAATGTCACTTTTATATTCAATTTTTCTTAGGATAATACAGAAGTAAGTCTCAATGTATTTGTAATTGTACTATTTTTTTTAATTTATAGCATTTATTTAAATTTAAATGTATTTTAATTGTTAACCTATCTTCTTTTTACGATTAATAAGATTTTAAGTTCTCTGATCAAAGCTAATTTATTTCTAAGATTTAGTTACAACACTTGAAGAGAACATAGTTTTTTAAATACTTTGAAAATCAATTTTAATATATGCAATTTGGATTTATTATAATGAATTTTGGGAATATCATTAATAAAAGATAACCAAAAATTATGCTGACCTAGAATATGGAAGATTGTATAATAAATGAAATAAAGCATTTCTCTTACTATTTAATATTTGTTATAGAGTTGCTAATAATATTGAAATAAAAAAAAACTGTGCTCTTTAAATGTCTAATAATTAAACTTCTAAAGAATTAATGGTTATAATTTTCAACAATAATTTAATAAATTAAGATTCATATGTTAAGTATACATCACCTTAGATATTTAATATCTGATATTATTCAAATAGCCAGAATTAAAAACAATCCATGAAAGTAATTTTAAAACTTTTCTTATTGATAAAGTCTCTATAGTATTAGATTTAAAAATATAAAGCACTAATCGACATGATTCTATTTTAAAATTTATAAAATTAAAAAATTGATAATAAGCAAATTCATTAGATTTGTTAAATTTCAACCAAAAACTTTAAAATATTAGCAATAAAATATGTAGTATCATTTGATGGTTATATAAAATCTATAGATATTGAAATATAAATATTAAATTTAAAAAAAAGGGCAAATACTAACTATATATTTGTATTTTTAATACTTTGATAGTTAATAATGTAGAAAGAAAAGCCTTATCAAAATATTAATCATATTTACCATTTTGATTTTAGAAAAAAAAGCTATCAATCTTTTTGAAGCTAATTACACTATTATCAATCCAAATTATTATTAGTTTTTTTAAAGAATTATCCATCTCCTCTTAAATAATATCTATCACATTCTTCACGCAAAGTTCCTAAATATCTTAAAAATAAAGATCACCATCATCATATCTCCTTAATAATGACTTGGGTTTTTATAGCATAAATCTGTAATATCAGTAATCTAATTAGGCCTTCAAAATGAAGACTTTAATTTAATTTGATGTAAGGACTTCAAATTTATTTTTATATAAAATAGAATATTTTGTACTATTATAAGTTACAGAATAATATCCTTATTCTAATTAACATTTTTGACCTCCTAAAATGTATAAAATTCACCTCAATGGACAAATAAACTGTTAATTCCCATTTTATTTTTTATAGGCTAAACTCTATTCATGATATTCTGTGTTACAATAAAAGTAGAATTAAAAAAGTTGATTTATTGTTCATTCATAATATTCTTAAACTTTATTGTGAATTCATTAATAAATAGATAATAAAAATTTCAAACGCTCAGGATTATAAAGTACAAAATTCTATATTTATTAATGACTTATGATAATTAAATAATTAGTTGATACAAACTAACCTTAAGAGATAATCTTATTAGGATTTTATTTTAAGACTCGAATAGAAGGGTTTTTGATTTTCGTTCTCTAAAATATCTAGAGTAGTTTTTTGCAGGATCACTTGCTAAATAATCGAAATAATATAAATAATAATGTATTTAACAAATATAACAAATTTATAGCTTCACAAGTATCTTCCTTGCTATGAGGAGAGGATAAGAATAGTTTAATAATAATGTTACTTCAACAATTAATTTTAAAATTCCAGAAATTTAACATTCAAAAAAATTATCTCCACATTAATTGCAAAGTATTTGGTCTTTTTTATATTTTTATTAAATTATGAATCATTTGAGCAATATATGATGTAAATTGTTAAATAATTTCATACATTTTAAATCTATAAATAAATGTATTATTGATATAATTTTATAGATTTTTTCTGAGTAAAATTACAATTTTTAATTCTTCTTATTAATTTACATAATATCATAAAAAGAGAAGAGAAGAAAACAGTTAGATTGAATTAATAATTTCATATCTAAATAATTGATTATTTTTTCAAAAGTATTAGATTTTGTAAACATAAAATTAATCATTCTGATAAGATTAATAAATAATATAGTATTATTAGATACTCTATAGAATTATTAAAGCTCAGACAAAACAGATAGATTATTATTTTTAATAACTTATTCAAATTTATTCATTAAATATAAAATATAAATAAGAAGAGTCTAAATGAAAGAATATCGGAAATTCAAAAATATATAAATAATTATTATAATTTCTTTTTAATATTCTAATTTAATAAGTTAAATATTTTATCTTTTTATTAATAATTCTTCATTTATATTTAAAAAATATGGAATACAGTTTTTAATATATAATTTAATATCTTTCTAAATATGTATATGAATATGTACAGCTATGAAGCTTATAAAACAGATAATTAAAATGATCAAAAAGTCTTTGATATTAATAATCAGAATAAACTAGAATTAGAATAATCCAAAAGTATATTCATTATATTTAATCAATAGGTATCAGTACAACATAAAAGAGGGCAGACTTTGAAAGTAGTGTTTTTGCAGCCTTAGTGATACAAAATTTATTTATTCTAATGATGATTTGTTTTGGTCTCTTTACTAACATGTAGTTCTGGCTAGTTGATTAGCCTTCTGATATTATTGACTTTTGTTATTGTGGATTTGGAAATACTTACTAATGTTAGGATGAATGTGTCTATTCATAAGATGAGGGAAATTATCCATAGCCAATAGCTCTATTTTATTGTTCCCTTATAATTGGATTAATTATGCATATTTGGTTAAATGTTGGATTAGCCTAAATTCAAAAAGTAAAATAATTCCATTCATTCTTAGCAACATTTTTTAATAATCCTTCTATATCTCGCTATTTTATGTTTATTTTATATATTTACTCTAACTACATTTTCCATATTGATTGCTTATACTTTGGGAGTTCAATTAATTTTCCTATCTTGGATTATTAACTTTGTATTTATTTTTTGTATAGCCTTCTATACAACTAGAACGAAAACCTAAGTTAATTATAAAGGTAATAATTATTCCATAATTTAAGTTGGCTCAATCTTTATTTTTATTCCTACTCTTCTATTTTTAATTATTTATATTAGCATATACCCTGATTCAGCATTATATATTTGTTTGGACTGTTTTATTGTGGTTATTCATGAATATTTCATAATAGCAGAAATTATTAGGTTTAGAAACAAAGAAGTAATTTATAATAATATCAATAAGGAATTTAAATCATCAATACTTGATATTATGATAGGTTCAAGTTTACTCTTTGGAAGTATCAATTAGTGTGTCATAAGTTTGATTGAATTATGTTAAGGATTTTCGAAAAAATCAATTTGAGTTATTTCTTTTTAATATCATAAATATATATATATATTTGATAATAAAAATACCTTAAGTTGATTCTAATTGCACTCAACAATATTTAAAGTAATATTGATTTAAGTTGATAAAACTTTGATCAATATTCATATCACTCTGAATAGTAATATAATTTAGTGTATTACAAAAATTGCAAAACTTAAAAACAAAAATATTAAAAGACTATAATAATAATAGTTAAAAGTAAGTTATTATTTTAGCAAATTTTATTGGAATTCTTAAAGAGATGGCACTTCAATTTTTGTTGTTATATAACAAATTTAAAGATATAATTCATAATTAAAAGTCTTAAGGATTTAAAATTTTTAAATGAATCATTGTTATATATTTTCTTTATTCAATCTTAGATACATAATATACAATTAAATTTAATTTAAAAAGGGAATTTAGTAAAAATTAATTCAAAAGAATGAATAATAATGATATTCCTAACTTAAGGAGCAGTTTGAATATTAACTACTGAATTAGATAATTACTTTAGTGAAATCAAAGGTTCAATTTCATAGATAGTAAAGTAATCTATTTAAATGAACAACCTTTTTTTTAAGAACTTTATATAAATCTTAACAATTGTGGAATCATTATAAACAAAAAAGATATTAAGAAATGGATGAAATAAATTAATAAAATGTAAATAAAAAGATGCTAAATTTGATCAGCAATCTGATTGGTCAGTTATTAATTATTCAAGTGCTCTAAAAATAACTAATATAGATAATTTAGATAAAATACATTTAGTAATATAATTTTCAACCAACAGAATGTTTTATTAAACATAAAGTAAAAAGTATAATATAATGAATCTTATACCAAGAATTATAAATTCTCATTAGCATGTCTGTAAAATTTACAATTTGTATAATAACACATTTTTATTAAATTGAAGATCATTGATTATATATTTATGCCTTATGATAATTAAAACAAGTAATCACTAATTAGGAAATAAAATAATTATTTATATATAGAAATGAAAATTATTGAAATATATTTATCATCATTAATATTTTAATTTTACAAAACCATTTTGTATCTATATGGAATAATTGATGCATTTTTTTTGATATTAAAAATTAGATGAAGATAAAATGAAATTTAATTTATGCACACTACATTTGCATTTTTAGGTTTGATATTTTTGGCCTTGACATAGTTTCTTTATTTTGCCACTACATTTGAAATTATGGTCTCTATTGCTTTAACTGTTACAGGAAAAACTTGCATATTAGTAAAAGATAACGAAATCTGTAAAGTCCCAGATAGTTGTGATATTTTTTTATGCTAATTTACAAGTCAACTAACTTTAATAGGTGGTCTTATTTTTGGAATAGTTTTAATATCAACGATATCAAACACAATAATACATTTTATTACTTAGAAAGTTAGTAAAACCACTCTAACTATATTAAACACGATTGATGGATTTATTAGTTTACTACCAGCATTAATTTCAACAATGATATTAATAACATACTCGATTTTACCACTTATCTATACTGAATGGAATTTTTCAATTCAACTTGGATTATTATTATTGGTTTCCACATGTTGCTTCTTTATCTCATATTATCTACTATTAACTAGAACAATTTACAAAAGAAAACCTTGGTAATAAAAAGGAGAAAATTTGATAATGCCAAGCATCACTGAAGTTTGAGAATATTATCTTTTATATTTTTAAAGTATTTTTTATTTATAAATAATACTAATTAATTTAAAAATAATATTTTATTCTTATTTTTAAGTATCTTTTAAAGATATTATGGTATAGCCCTATGTTAATTTGAAGAGAAACAATGGAGATCTTTCATTTTGATTTATTTTGAACAGAAAGTAACAATTTTGAACCTATCCTCATATAGGACTTCTAAAAGGGCTTGTGAAGAGGATAAAATCAGATCATGAATAAATATTTAATTTCCTTATTATATATGATATGAAATTACATCCATAAATAAAAACATTCAATTTTGCATATTTAAGAAATAATTGATACTATAAAGAATATATACATATTAAAAAGGGATGAATAAAATATAGAAATAATATCTTGTAACCAGAATATATTTAATATGATTTACTTTTTAATATTAGAGCATTATAGAATTTAAATTTATTTTGCTAATTGATAGAAATATCAAAAGATTTAATAAAGTACATAGAAGAATAGATGTATAAATAGAATATTTCATTTAGATTTAAAGCTGTGAACACTAGAATTAAATAATTTTGTTATTTTTTTTGTTTGATTTTGTATAGCATTTTCATAGTTTTAAAAATGTATATCCTATAATAATTTTATATAAATTATATTTTTAATTAAGCAAGAACTCATTGAAATAAAAATTATGTAATTCCAGTGATCACTGCTTAGACAATAAAGAGATATGATAAATTTAAAAAATGTTTGATATAGATAACTATTTCAAAAATAAACCATTAAGGTAAAAAGGAAAGATTTTATAGACATGGAATTTATTAAAAAAATTGATCGAATAGCTTCCAATAAGTATTAGAGTCTAATTTATCTATATAAATCAATTAAATTATCAAGATTATTAATTATATGTATTATTATCTAAAAAAATTTAAGTAAAGTTTAATAAAATATGTTAATAATAAATTAAATGAATACTAAATTGATTGTTGATTAATTGTTAAATAAAGTTGGAGAATGTCTTTAAGAAGTTTAATAATAATTAGATGTAAGTTATTGAAATATATCCTATGATTAGTAATCTTTTAACAGGATTGAAGATTTTGTTGAATAACTTCTTTTCGCCCCTTATCCACCTGTTGTTCCTAGCACTTTTAATTTTGAAGCTTCAGTTACTTAAATATTTTTACCATCAATCTAAACATTCACTAATAAACTAATTCAAGAAGTGAAATATTTAATCTATATAACTATTCATTAATAAATTAAATACAGTCAATATTAATTTGAATAATATCTTACTGAATTATAAATATATGAAATAAAACAATAAAACAAATAACAAGATATCATAATAAAAAATCATCATTAATTAAATATCAACTCATTTAATTATAATTAATTATAAAATAATTTAATTTAATAACATTAAGATTGTTATGCAATTGCTATTAATAAAGATAATTCAATTTTATTAGCTGGTTGTTATGAGGAAATCAAAGTATTTGAATTAAAATAAGAATAGTTAAATTAAACTCAATTATTAAGTGAACACTCAAATAATGTTCTAACTTTGAATTTTATGAATTAATAGAATCAATTTGTATCTAGCGATAATAGTGGATATATTGTAATATGGCAAATGAATCAAAATAGTTAATGGATATGTTAATAGAAATTAAAAGAACATTGTGATAGTATTAATTGTTTAATAATTAACAATAATGAAGATATTATCATCTCAGGAAGTGATGATTATACAATTAATTTTTTGTAAAATTAGTAGTAATGGGTATGCTCATAAACTATTACAGATCATACACATTATGTATTAGGATTAAGTTTGAATGAATAATAGATAAGATAAGTTAATATTAATAACAGAATAGTAATTATAGGATCTAAACTGGAATGTCATATAAAAGATATAAGTTGAAGTTTTTGGTTGTCGATTATGTTTTATTTCTGATGATGTATTCACATTATAACCTAATTTTAAAGATAAAATACATGTTTATGAAATGGATAATACAAATAAATAATATTCAAAGACAAAAGAAATTGCTGTTAAAAGTAATGATAATTGCTATTATCACTTTCCTTAATAATATATAAAATAGAAATTTTTGGTTGTAAATAAGAATGGAAAAATTTTTAATCTAATAAAGAAGAATGAAAATGGTGATTTTATAACACAATAATCTATTGATTTTGGAGATTATTATTTATTTGGATAGATGAGTGAAAATGGTCAGTATTTGATAACTTGGGATATGAAATCAAAGGAAATTTAAATACGAAAATATGATTAAGGATGAATAAGATTATAAAAAAATTTTATATTATTTAATCTTTAATTTTTATATTGATTAATAGAAATTGTGAATAAAACAAAAGATAACAAGGGATTATTTAATTTTATAATCTTAAAATGATCATAATAATTTTAAGTGAAAAAGATCAAAAATATAAAAAGTAAGTTTTAAAATATTATGAAAATGGAATAAATTAAACATTTAAATATAAATAAGAGATTCATAAAAGATGTTGAATATTTTTATTAATTTCGTTAATTAAATATAAATTATATTTCAAAATATTAATATTTTTCCATTTTAGATAATTATATAATGTATTATTAGGGAAAATATTTCTATAAAGCTAATTAATATAAGAATAATTATTAAATCACATCAATTTCTTATTTTGGTTTTTCAAGTAACCTTTGCGGCTTTTACACTTGATCTTTCGAAGTTACATATTAATTTTTTCATTTTGGCACCTATCTCTATTTAAGAAAATTTTCTATAATTCCTCTCAATCCATGTAATGTAGTTAAAGTATATGACATATTAAACATTAATTTAACTAAATTAATAGCCTTTATTTAGAATCTAAATGGATGATTAATACTATCCAATAAATTTCTTTAGAATTTAACTTTAGCCCTTTACTTACTAAGACTTTTTATAGACTTTTGATTCAAATAACTCATAACCTGAAAATAGGCAAAGCTTACCCATTTTGAATTAAAATTTGCTAGAACTGAAATAAATAGTTGTAATTCCTTCAAAATAGCTTTAAAATAATTAAGAATTTTAGTTATTTCGATATACAATTTATCTGAACTCCTTATTATATTATTGATAACAGTCCACGGCAAATTTTTCAAAAGTTTAAATTTTTCTCATGCGACTTTCAATTGATTAAATCATTTTAATTACACAGTAAATGGAGTAGAATTAATGAATACTTTTCTTAATATTAACCAGTAAACATGATAATTCACACGTCTTCATAAATAATTCTGAGGCAATATGTATCACTTCTTGGTTAATAGATATGGCTATATCGTCAGCGTAAGCCATAATCTTCACCTCTCTGATCAGTTTTTTCATCTTGAAAATCTATTACTCAAACTTTGTTCGTATTCTCTCAACTCAGTCCTGAAGTTGTTCCAGAACATAATGGAAGAAGATATTAAACAAGAAAGAGCTGGGCATTGATCCTTAAGCAACTTATATCTATCAATTATTGAAAAGTGCAAAGATCTTTCTAATTTTTATGGGGATATTTATTCATTAAATTGGATATGTTAGAATAGTAAGATTTATTTGTGACATTTTTCCATTTCAAAATCACTATTAGGAATTTTTAGAGGTTAGAATAACTATTTGCATTTCTTAAGCTGTCTGATTTTATACATTCATAAATGGAATATTATTCATAAGGGATAGATCTATATGACAACAACCTAAGTTTTTTTATGTTCTTATAAAAATTACTGATATACTCTTTTAAGTTTATTGCTAAAGAATTTCAATAATTTTTTTATAATAGAATATTGTACATTAATATGTATGTGATATAAAGACAAATCTAAATTTATTTAATTAAAGGCAATTTTTTATATATCTAGTTTATCTTATTATTTTTAAAGATAAAAAAATATAGTTAGAGTGATTAAAGCTGAGCAATCATTCTTAGAATAGGAATCTATTCTATTTTAAATTAGATAGATTATAAAATTAAAAACTAAAATTTGTTATTCTTAACCATTTTATTAATCTTACTTAAAAGACCACATTATTGTTTTTAATCAAATGCTTAATAAATTAAATATTTAATTCTTTATTAATCCAAAATTATTAAAAATTTTGTTAATTATTTAATTTTTGAAGAACATTAATTATACAAAGACTGATTATTCAGCTAAGGATCAGTTAATTTCTGGAAACTTATAGGAATTTTCCAATATCAATGAGAAGGTTATTTAAAATCAGCCTTCCCAACTGAGTTAATATATTTAGAAATCAAAACTGAATTCAATCTAGAGAATTATTAATAGAATACTTCGATGACTTTCTTTATTAAATTAAAAATGATAAGTTTTTAAATCTTAGCAGTTTATAAGTCATCTTTAAAGTTATTGTTATATTTTGATGTACAGACCTTCCTGAAATATTAAAAAAAAAGCATTTGTATTAGATAAATGCTTTTAATCACAAACAGTAATTAATTTAATTTATTTCCTAAAATATTCCATTATAACCAAGTAAGCATAAATAATCATTGAAATATTTTATAATTACATATCTTAAGTTAATTATAGCTAATCAGTTAATATGGGCTTTTAATAGTTATAATACTAAATTAGGACAAATATATTTAAATATAAGATTTTCGTTTAGGTATACTAGAATTTTTCACTCACCCATTCTTATTTTCACAATAATTTTATAATACTCTTTATTATTTTAATAGACTTATACATATTATATTAAAGAGAAAAAGCAAAATTCAGTTAACTGGATGGAATATCAATTATAGATATTGATAAGCCTTAATAAATTTATAAAATATTATCAATTATAGAGTTCGTTATAATTTTTTATCAAAAATCAGAGATTTATTTAATTTCTAATGCTCATGCATTTGAGATTTTAATGAAAACAATAAGGAACTTTACAAAATGTCTTCTATAATTTTAGATCTAAAGAAGTAAGGGAAAAAATTTATGAGATAGTTGAAATCTCTTCAATTTTACGTACTTTTTTAATTGACATTCTAATTAATACTTAGAGATTTTCTATTTATTAAATAAATGATTCTATTCCCTAACTCTCTCTTTTTCTTATTCTTTTAAAAAGTTTCTTTTTTTTATCGAGTCTGAGGATTAATTTCATCCTTCTATTTATTTAATGTAATCAATAATAACATCTCAATTCCTCTTAATTAGATGCTACTAATGGAATTAATGTTTAATAATTTTAGCTTCAGAACTTTGATTTTATATTTATCCAAAAATCAATAGAATTTAAGATAAACTTAGCTAGACAATTTCTAAGCACATATAAAAATCTCAAAACCTATTTAAGTTGTTCTATCATATCGGTTATAAATAGGAGATATGATTATGTACAAATTTGGATTCTTAGCAGCAAACCGATAGCCTGGCTCTATTGTTACCGCAAATCTAGAGGAGAAAGAAAAAGAAGAAAATAATTTATTTTTTTATAAATTAAGATTTAGTTTTCAAATTGTAACTGATATAATAAAATAATAATTATAAGTATTTTATATTTTTATTAATAAATTTTTATGTTTGGTTGTAATAATAAGTTTACAATTAATGTATTTTGTTAAATTAGCCGAAGATTTAATTTATATAACAATTAATGCACTTGAGAAAAATTGATATAATCATTTTGACTGTAATTCATCAAACTTCAATCTATCAATATTTTTCTTTGAATTAAATTTGCAGTTGATACAACTATGATAATAAAAGAATAAAGACATAATTTATAAGATATTTTGAAAAATCTCATATTTTACAAATTTCCTTAATAATATTATTTACTGAGAAATCAAGAGGACATAAAGATGAAACTAACACCAAAGAAATATTTTACTTTACAATTATACTTAGGAATTAATTTAAAATCATAATTAACCATAGAGTAACAACTAAATTTAGATAAATTTTTATATTGTTTTTAGGTATGCATTAATCTTATTTATTATTATCACTAAGCCACGCACNTTTATTTAATTTCTAATGCTCATGCATTTGAGATTTTAATGAAAACAATAAGGAACTTTACAAAATGTCTTCTATAATTTTAGATCTAAAGAAGTAAGGGAAAAAATTTATGAGATAGTTGAAATCTCTTCAATTTTACGTACTTTTTTAATTGACATTCTAATTAATACTTAGAGATTTTCTATTTATTAAATAAATGATTCTATTCCCTAACTCTCTCTTTTTCTTATTCTTTTAAAAAGTTTCTTTTTTTTATCGAGTCTGAGGATTAATTTCATCCTTCTATTTATTTAATGTAATCAATAATAACATCTCAATTCCTCTTAATTAGATGCTACTAATGGAATTAATGTTTAATAATTTTAGCTTCAGAACTTTGATTTTATATTTATCCAAAAATCAATAGAATTTAAGATAAACTTAGCTAGACAATTTCTAAGCACATATAAAAATCTCAAAACCTATTTAAGTTGTTCTATCATATCGGTTATAAATAGGAGATATGATTATGTACAAATTTGGATTCTTAGCAGCAAACCGATAGCCTGGCTCTATTGTTACCGCAAATCTAGAGGAGAAAGAAAAAGAAGAAAATAATTTATTTTTTTATAAATTAAGATTTAGTTTTCAAATTGTAACTGATATAATAAAATAATAATTATAAGTATTTTATATTTTTATTAATAAATTTTTATGTTTGGTTGTAATAATAAGTTTACAATTAATGTATTTTGTTAAATTAGCCGAAGATTTAATTTATATAACAATTAATGCACTTGAGAAAAATTGATATAATCATTTTGACTGTAATTCATCAAACTTCAATCTATCAATATTTTTCTTTGAATTAAATTTGCAGTTGATACAACTATGATAATAAAAGAATAAAGACATAATTTATAAGATATTTTGAAAAATCTCATATTTTACAAATTTCCTTAATAATATTATTTACTGAGAAATCAAGAGGACATAAAGATGAAACTAACACCAAAGAAATATTTTACTTTACAATTATACTTAGGAATTAATTTAAAATCATAATTAACCATAGAGTATGGATGTGAAAAACGAAGTACTTACTTATAACAACTAAATTTAGATAAATTTTTATATTGTTTTTAGGTATGCATTAATCTTATTTATTATTATCACTAAGCCACGCACAAATATTTATTTCATCCTAAAATAATTTTAGAGCCACAGCTATTCACTGGAGGTAAGCCTTCTCCATTTCAAACTTGTCAGCATTCATAAGGATAATTAAACTGGATAAAACATGAGAAATAAATCCAGCTCTCTGGTATATTAACAGATACTTTATAGTCCTATAATTTGATCATCAGGTAAAGTAATTTATGAAATGTAAATTTACTTAAATAATTTCTTTTCCTATAGGAGTAACAAAGAAAATTAATCAATATTTTATGAAAAAAATGTATATGGAAACTTATTGATTGTTGATATTTATTAAAACTGAATCTAAAATAGTAAAATTTAAATTATTTAAATTATTTGGCTTAATAATGTTATATTATGATTAAATAATGATTCATAACTTAGCTAACTATTTCTCTATATATTCTTAATTTAATCCTTTTTCTAATGCAGACATATAAAATTGCTTGGCTTCATTTTTTTCCCCTAATTCCAATAGTGAATCAGCTAAATTTTTATTAATAATTTTAATACCTTTAAACCTTAAATTTATAGGGTTGAAGTTAATCGAAAGAGCTTCATCATAACATAATATAGCCTCTTTGTATTACTTTTAATTATGTAATGCAACACCTAAATTATTCCATAATTTACCTTTGTTAATCCAAGCCTTATCTTATTTTGGATTAATTTAAATAGCCTTTTCGTAACACTCTATAGCTTCTTTGTATTTCTGTAATTTATGTAAGGCTTTGCCTAGAAAATGCTGTATAAAATAAATTACCCTTATTAACCCAAGTTGAATCATGTTTAGGATAAAAGGAAATAGCTTTCTCATAGCACTCAATTGCTTATTTGTATTTTTGTAATTCAAATAATGAAAGACCTAAAAAATTGGTTAAACATTACTTACCCTTATTATTCCATACAGAATGAAATTTAGGATTAATTTAAATAACTTTTTCGTAGCATTCAATTGCTTTTTAATATTTCTATAAATTATGTAATATAAGCCCTAATCAGTAATACTTAAAAAATTAATTACCCTTGTTATTCCATGCAAAATCATTTTTTGGATTAATTAAGATAACTTTGTCAAAACATTCAAATGCTAGTTAGTATTGCTGTAATTTCCCTAATGCAAGCCCTAATGCATAAAACTTTAAAAATTATATACCCTTATGATTCCATGCAGAATTATTTTAAGGATTAATTAAAATAGCTTAGTCACAACACTCAATAGCTTCCTAGTATTTTTGTAAATTAATTAATGCAAGACCTAAAAAACAATCCTTATAAAAAATTACTTTTATTATTCCATGCCACATCATATTTTGGGTTAATTGAGATAGCTTTATCATAACACTCAATCGCTTCTTAATATTTCTGTAATTTATCTAATGCAAAACCTATTTAATAGTCCTTAAAAATTTATTACCCTTATTATTTAATGCAGGATAATTTATGGGATCAATTAGGATAGCTTTATCATAACACCCAATAGCTTCTTAATATTTCTGTAAATTATATAAAGCTTAACCTAAAACTAAAGCTGAAATTAATTACCCGCATTAATCCATGTAGTATCATTTTTAGGATTCAATGCGATAGCTTTATCGTAACACCCAAAAGCTTCTTTATATTTTTTTAATGTATTTAATGCAAGACCTAAATTATAATATTTTAAAAGTCCTCACCTTTATTAGTCCATGCAATATCATATTTAGAATTAATTTAGATAGCTTAATCATAACACTCAATTGCTTCTTAATATTTCTATAATTTATCTAATGCTAACCCTAATTACTAATTCTAAAAATTACGCACCCTTATGATTCCATGCAGAATTATTTTAAGGATTAATTTAAATGGCTTTTTCGCATTACTCAATGGCTTCTTAATATTTCTGTAAATTATATAATGCCAAACCTAAATAATAGTAGTTTAAATTATTTACCCTTATCACTTAATGCTACGTCACATTTAGGATTAATTTAGATAACTTTATCATAACACTCAATCGCTTCTTAATATTTCTTTAATTTATCTAATGCAAACCCTAATTAATAATTCTAAAAATTACGCACCCTTGTTACTCCATGCAGAATTATTTTAAGAATTAATTTAAATGGCGTTGTCGCAACACTCAATAGCTTTTACGTATTTCTTTAAATTATTTAATGAAAACCCTAATAATAGTCTTTAAAATTTATAACCTTTATTATTCCACCCAGCATCACTTTTAGGATTAATTAAGATAGCTTTGTCATAACACTCGATGGCTTCTTAATATTTCTATAAGTGATGTAAAGCAAAACCTAAATAGTAGTATCTTAAATTACGTACCCTTGTTGTTCCATGCAGTATAATAAGTAGGATTAATTAAAATTGCTTGGTCGTAACACTCAATCGCTTCTTAGTATTTCTGTAAATTATGTAATGCTAAACCTATTAATTTTAAAATAAACTAACACCTTTATTTAATATTCTATAAGCCTCTTGAATATTCTACTGTTTAACATCATCACTCCCTTGTTTAATCTCTACCATTGTAATTACATCTTAATATTCTGAAAAATTTTTATCATCCACTTAAATTTCTTGAGGTATCATCTTTTTTATTGCTTCAAGAATAATATTTAATTATAATATTTGTTATACTATTATGATTGCTAAAATAATATACATATGTAATTTTCTTTTTCTTTTGAGTAAAACTATTTGATTATGGGAATTTATGACTTAAAAGTCAAGTATTCTTAGTCAATAAGTTGTTGAGTCATTTTTTCTAATATTGTAATGTCTAAATCCATTTTCTTAAAAATGCATTCAGAACAATTCTAAATTTGTTAAGAGATTTCTTAAAATTATATCTTTCTTTTATTGTAATTTAGCACAAACTCCTTGATAAATTAGATTATCTTAGAAAATCTTATACAATCATTGAAATGTTCTGAATGAGTAGTATTTAAACATTAATAACAAAATTGAGTTGCATTTTAACAACTTTGATTCAAGCAAAATCCAATTATTTCTTCATTTTCATG